ATCACGTTTTCGGATGTTGGCCGTATAGCATTCCTGGCAATCTCTTTCACTACTTCAGTGTCCTCGTTGAATTTGTAGCCTGACAGCCAGTAGAAGTGCAATTGCTTGCTTCTTTCAACACTTTCCACTGCCGCCCCACTTTCCAAGACACTTCTGGCCGATATGCGTTATGAGATTACTGCATTGATCGCTGCTGTCTACGAGAATGTTGAGAGTGGAATTGCCTGCACATGCATTACATGCCAGCTCCACAACTTTCGCAATAGCAAAGATCTCAGCTTGAAATTTATTACAGTGGTCCGGCAACTAAAAAGGTTGCCTTATGTCTAACTTTGGATAGGTGATTAGTGTATTGCACGTAGCTAACTTGCCCTTAAGCCAACTATATTTTTCTAAGTTTACTTTGAACATTCTTTCCCAGTGGAGAGCGTCTGAACCCTGTCCATTGGCTTCCGGTAGGTGGATTTTCGTACGACTGTCCACCATACCGCCCACCATACCACTGCACCATAGAGCAGAATTAGCCTTATATAAAACTTTGCTACCTTTTCTCAGTTTTTCTTCCACATTGTGCTTCCACAGCAGTTTTCAGTCAAAGGTACTTGATGCGGTCCTTGACAGAGAGTTATGCCACATTTTTCTTGTGAACACAAGCAGATCCATTTTCTCCGGGTTCAGCCGCAGACCCGCTTGCCAATCCAAGCCTGGATTGTATTGAGAGTGGTAGCCATAATACTGCTAATAATATGTAGATAAATATTTTAGAAAATTATTAGTTTGCGAAAAAAATTTAATTTTTTGTACCAAAAAAAAAAAGAGCTGAAAATTGTTTATTGAAAAAATGTTAAATATAAAAAGAAAACAAGTCTATATTTCTGGTGGAAAAATGCGTTGTACTCTCAGTACCATTATCGATTCATTTGAAAAACGCAGTTTCGAGTAAAAGAAAAAACATTTATTGTTCCATCAACTGAATAGTGTTTTTAGAACCCAAATGTGTACTTTAGGTGAAAAATGTGTTCGATATATGGAAAACGCTCAACTTTACTAGCCCCTGGAATGCACTACGCAGCAGTGGATAAGGCAATTTACACTATGGAATGTAGTTAAGAACCCAATTTGCATACTATTTTCGATTTGCACTAAGAATTTACCGTAATAACATTTCCTTTTAATTTCGACGCACCCGATTTAGTAATGCAGCAAACTCCTTACTTGACTATTAATTGCAGCAATAAATATTAACATACCGATCTATACATACATACATATCTATAGATATTTTAAAGGCATGGAATGCAGTAACCTTCGGCCCAGTGCGTTGTGAATAAACAAGAAATGGCGTAAATTTCAGTTGCACCGAAGCAGTAATACCCCACAGAAAGAGGTGCATGTTTTAAAGCATAAAAGGGTATAAACAAATATTTTTCTTAATTTTGATCGGCCAGTTTGTATGGCAGCTATTATTCGGATATTAAATTTCGAGAATTTCGAGAAGATATCTCGTCAAATGAAAAAGTTTCCCATACAAGCAATTGATTCCGATCAAGTTTGTATAGCAGCTATATGCTATAGTGGTCCGATATCGGCGACTCCGACAAATTAGCAGCTGGGAAGAAAACAATCTGTGTGATCAGATCGTTATCTCAAAAACTGATATTGCCCATATACCGATGTCGGACAAAGCGGCAGACGAAAATGTCTAAATGGACTCAGCTCATCAAGCTGATCATTTGTATAGTATCGTATATGTATGTATGTATATTTCATTTTATCCAAAACTAATACGGCTATATGAACAGACGTTGAGCAATACCAAAAGCTCCTTCTGAGTATCCGAGTCGTTCGATACTCAGCAAGGTTCCGGACAACGATACTTCTATATACATTCTATGGCTGGAGAAAATAATTCGAGCTGCAGAGCTAAATAGAGTAGGTAAAAAAGCTTCTACGCCGATGACATCGATATCATTAGCCATAACAAACGCGCCGTACTTTCTCGCGGTTGGACAAAGAAGCAAATGGGTCTGGTAGTAAACGAGGGCAAGACGAAATATCTCTTTTCATCAAACAATCTCCAATTGGCACCGTTGTAAACTCGGAACATTCGGACCTGCGGGTGTTATTTACAGTAACTTAAAATATTCATCTCGGTTAAATAAAGGAATTAATTCCGCGATAATGTTTTACAATTTTCTACTCGGCTTAACTCAGTAACAGTACATCAGTGTTTATCGATGGTATCACTCCAAGACGAATTGAAGGGTACTAAAAATCAGTCGTGTTCCGGGAACTATTGATGCTATGCGTAAACTGTTATTGCAAGATCATCCTGAGACACCTGAATAGGCGGTTGTTGTGTTCAGAATATACGCTTTGGAGATACCTCAATCAGCGTGACAAAAGTGCTTTGACAATTGATGTGTGTAAATCTTACTGAAATAATATTTTCAAAAACAATAAAGCGATTTTCGATACTTAATACTTGTTATAGTGCTCTTAACTTGGAATACATATCTATATAAGGCAGCCCTCGTAAGTAGAAGCACCTAAGAGTACTTAGATCTTAAGCTGTAACAATGATCAATACAAATCACTTACTAATAAGTGTCGGGTAAATACTGAAAACTATTTACCTCTATTTAAATTTACTCAAAAACGATTGAACTTAAGAGTAGTTAATAGGAATTTAGTGGTACGGAGTTAATTACTCTGTGGACATTAGTGAACGCGAGACAACTATTTATAAGGCAAAGAAATAAAGATCTGTCGATTGATTTCATTAGGAAATGAGAGAAAATTATTGAGTAGGTGCAACTAGGAATCGAGAGAAAGGTTCTGCGGAAGATTAGGCCAGATGGAGAAGGACCTGGTTTCGCTTGGAATCTCCAATTGGCGTCACATTGCGAAAAGAAGAAACGACTATCGCACTGATCGGAATAATGTAGAAGAGGCTTTTCTTAAAGAGTTGAGAGCCTGGGACTATGACCTTTGGCATTATGGTCGGTGGATCATGGACTATAACTCATTATATAAATGTTTGTTTAAGCTTGTATGGGCTTTGTACTGCCGATGATTTACCCAGGCTTTTTCCATATTTCTTATAAAGTTGTCCGATTCTTTAAAGATATAGATGATTAGATAAAGATAAGATGATTAGTTTATGCTAAAGGGTTTGATGATAGTGTCGTCTTCCCGACTGCCGTCAGTTTAACGCCTTGACAGTTTTCAAAATTTGTTTTTTTTTTTTTAAGATAGTGGATGACGCTAGCAAATTGTTGGCGACATAAATGTGCGAAAAATTGTTGCAGAGCATCGGGTCGCCCTTAGAACTTCAGGACCGGGAGAAATTGTTCAAGATTTCTTACGCACCGTTCTCACTCCCCGATGTAATCTTTCTGCCTGATTGTACAGATCCTCTCATCTGTAGTATAAAATTTTTAAATAAAAAAAATTTAATCGACTTTACTATTTTTCAATTCGCTACTGTTGGCTTGCAAGCGAAAACTTACACACAAATGGCGCTGTTGGTCAAGCGTATACGCAAACCACACACTATACAGTCACCTGCAAATATATTGTGTGACAAAAACATTTCATATGTCTAATTAATAAATTTATATGCGGCAATTTCGCCGCATTTCAATTTTTGAATAGGTGGCAACACCCAGAAATATTTTAAAACCTAGCTTTCTAAAATCGCTGCATTTGATACCCACATTTAAGTTGTCCTTAGCGTATAATTATATAATTTTACTGGAATAAAATTGTTTTATAGGTGGCAACGTCAAAAATATATTTAAAGCTAGCTTTATAGTACCATATTGTTTGATACCCATATTTTAGTGGTCGTTAGCCGATAATTATATGTATTATTTTACTGCATTTAAATTTTTGAATAGGTGGCAACTCCCAAATATTTTAGAAGCTAACTTCCTAAAGCTGTATTTTTTGATACTCATGTCACTCATTTTAATGTTCCTTTGTCGATAATTATGTATGTGTATTATTTTACTGCATTTAAATTTTTGAATAGGTGGCAACTACAAAAAATATTTTAAAATGATTCTTTCCAAAACTATATTGCATGATACCCAAATTTTAATGTTTCTCAGCCTCAATTAATATAATTTTTTGCATTAAAAAAAAATTAGTAGGTGGCAACTTAAATATTTTAAAATTTCAGAAAGTGACCGGCTAGTGGAGAAGGGTTGCCACCTGTTTAAACAAATTTAAATCAATAAAGATAAATAATTGGAAAGTTAAAATATCAGTGCATTTATAATATGTATTTATTTTTTCGAGAATAAACAAGCTCAGAGTTAGAAGTAGTTGATAAGGTTTGCTACCTGTTTAAAAAATTTAAATCAATAAAAATAAAAAAAAAACACTAGGAATGCAATTAAACAAAATTTTTGGAATGCTGACATTACAGTTAGTTAGCCGAAGAGAAGAGTTGCCACCTGTTTGGAAAACATTTAAATCAATAAAAATAAATAATAGAAAAGTTATAATATTGATGCATTCCTAATATTTATTTTTTCGAGTATAAACAAGCTCAGAGTTAGAAGTAGTTGAGAAGGGTTGCCACCTGTTTGGTTAAAATTGAAATCAATAAAAATAAATATTAAAATAAAAATAAAAAATAAAAATAAATATTAGCTAAGAATAGCCGATAAAGGTTGCCACCTATTTCAAAAGTATTATTAATTTTTTTGCTATTTCTTCAGCTCATCAACATTTCGTCACGAAATTTCCAAACATTTGGCAACCCTCAAACACTTACTTTAATCTCTTTGAATATTACAGCGAGCAACCCAAAAAGCCATATACAGATCGTTTCAGCATTCAACTCTCTTACCGCCTCAGCGCCTAAATGAATAAAATAACAAAAAATTTACATTTAAATTACAAAAAGGGCATTTTATTATTATTTATTATTTGTATTCCATTGAAATATTTGCATACATTTGTATATTGCTTAAATTAATGTATGTATGTATGTATTTTACGGTAATTTATAACGGCAAAAGAATTTGCGCGCTTCATAACTTCAAGTATGCTGACATATGTTTGTATGTAGTTATGCGTATTTTAAGAGAAGAAGAAACAAAAACAAATGTACAAACACTTCAATTACATTTATCACTTATAATTTAAAGAATTTTTGCGAAATAGTTTGATACAATTTGATTTATAATAATTCGGCATTCACTTTGCCAATGCGTACACGCACGCATTTCATATGATAATCGTTGTGGAAAGGACTACACGTCGTATGAGTAATGCAATAAGGGCTACTTAGTGTTACGTTATATTCTCAATCAATTTTATTTGTATGCATGTATATATGTATGTATTTGTGTATAAACTTTTATGCTTTTAATGATAAACATTTGATTTTCGCTTCTAATTTTGATTATGAATTGTTGATTATTTTGATTTTTAATAAAATTGTATGTATGTATTTTAGCCTATACATAACTACAGTATAAGTATTTTATAATAATTTGTGCTTCCTTTTGCATTTTGGTATTGGTTTTGTTTGTTCACTACTTTTCTGGCGTCGTTAATTTCATGCGTTTTGGCTTCTGGGTGGGTTCACACTATTTACCGTTATTATTATTATTTTTTTTTTGCTATAGTAAAAATAGTCACTGACAATTTGGCATATTTCACGGCTGTACAAATTAAAGTTTGGAATGGAAGTGGTTTTCAGAATTTTTATAATTTTATTTTTTAGTTTATTAAAGTAGTTCACTTATGCATGAAAGTGTTAAAGGAAAATCTGGCAACGTTCATTTTGCATATTTTTTTGTTTCGAGCAATCTTATGTAGTTTAAATGAAATTTGTCTCCTCAAAAATATGAAATTGATTTAAAAATGTGTTCAGCAACGTTCGGTAACGTAGACCTTGGCAGTGGCTGGAGCGTTCGATCGTCGTACAGCGACGGAGACTATGATGCCAATGGCGACGAGTACGATGCCCAATGCGTTGATAATATAATGTTCGATTTCCGAGTTGCGTGAGCTGTGAAGGAGAAGCGAATGTATACATGAGTTTTTAAATTTAAATTAGAGTAATTATTTTTAATTAAATAAATATATAAATTTAATAAAAGAGGCATGATAGTTAGCCGTAAAGAGAGTAATGCACTTTATTTTTAAAAATAGAAATGAGAGCGGAACCTTGCAGCTAACAGATGATTAAGAGGTATTAAATCATATCTATATATTAACTCTGCTATAGCGGAAATCTACTGTTTGAAAATTAATGTTTTTAACGCCAACTTGATCATTAATTTGCCACAAGGACTCCTCTCAATCCTTGTCCAATCCATCGCATATGTACAAACCTATACCTGGGAAGTAAAAAAACGTAAGTCAACTTAAGCTAAGATAGATATTTTGATTTGCAATAAGTATCTGAGCATATTTTTTCTCTATTTGATTCCAATTCTTCTTCTTCTTCATTGTCGTAGCCGAGTCGACAACAACGAACCGTCGTTCTATCTTTTCACTGCTTGGAGGATGGAGCCATGTGTTGAATTTTACCCAAGTGAGGAAAGTTCTCTGAGTGCCATTCATTTGGAAGTGGCTGGAATCGATTCTTTTATATATGGCTCAAGTAGCTCACTACTTCCGATCTTAGACCAGAGGATACGGTAGCCAAAACATAAGTTTGATGGCGAATCATCTCTGCCCAGGGTTGTGCACTGGGTTTGGGACCCGCCACTTAAAAGGAAAAATCATCAATGAACACAATAGCCTCGAATGAGAGATAACCCTATTGAAGACGACCACTGCAAACGCATTAATAATTATGATTTAACGGCATGCACCTGGAATATCCGGTCCCTTAATTGGGAATGTGTCATTGCCCAGCTGGCTGATGTATTCGTAAGAGTAAAAGCAGACATCAGCTGCATCGAAGACGGATGGACGGGACAAGGACAGAGACGAGTAGATCCTTGTGGCACTTACTACAGTAAGATTCATAGATTCATAGTAGAAGAAAGACTCCATCGCCGAGTCCTGTCATTCACTGCAATGGTTGAACACCTAGCCAGAATACGCATCAAACCGAAGTTCTTCATCATAACGTACGTCAACTGATTTGCGCCCACACCCCGACGTAAGAGAAGGACAATATGACTAAATATGAATTCTATGAGCACTTGGAGCGCACCTAAGAGAACTTCGCCCGCCACGATGTCAAAATCAAGCTTAGCGTCTTTAACGGCAGTTTGGGCAAACAAGGTATCTTTTGAACAATGATCGGTAAACTTAGCCTACATGTTCCCCAAATGTGTTTAAGATGATCGACTTTGCCGGGGCCCGAAATATGGTTCTCTGTAGTACTAGATTCTAGCATAAGAAACTTTATCAAGCTCCCTGGCTGTCTCCGAAACGAAAAGCCACCAACCAGATCGTTCATGTTGTGATAGATGTAGGATACGTCTCCAGTGTTTCAGATGTACGTACGCTCCGCGGTCCTAACTTTGAATCCGATCCTATCTTGCAGCAGCCAAATGATTTTCAACTCGACTTGCACTCTTCAAACTCAAAAGACGGCTGGCAATCGGAATGCTCGCTGAGAAGAAATTTTAGTCCAATGAAGAGGTGGTCTCTGAAATTAAGGCCTATTTTGAAGCAAAGGGCAAATCGTACTACAAAAATGACATCGAAAAGTTGAAGGGTCGCTATAATCACCCTTGAAGGGAGCTTTGTGGAAAAAGAATCACGAATTTTTCCAAAAAATGTGTTTTACTATGATAGGTCGCGGATTTTTCAATTGATTTGCTACATTGGAAATACCTAAGGGTGCCCGCAGAATGGACGCTTAAAGCTGAGTCGAGCGCAGTTTCCTCATTTACCTTACACGCGAATTTACGGTTGGCTCACCTTTAAGCGCAACCCTAAGCCCTCTTTACAATTAAGAAGTTTCGGCATAAATAATTTACTACCGAATTTATATACAAATTTATGTACGTATGACGTCACAACGCTGGAAATGACATAAGAGTTCATAACAACTGCATTGACATCTACTTGATTTGATCAGATTTCGGCATTCGCATATAATTTCGTTACATAATTGTATTAAAAGATAATCAAAGCTTACCTCAAAACGGCATTGCCCGCATTCTGGCGCTCATATTCCACCAACCCAGTGATGCAAGTGGCAATTGCCAACATAAAATTCACCAAGCCGAAGCTGGCGTGTATCGGAACCATAATGCTGCGGCACTTGTAGGTGCGATTCTCACAGCACAGCAACACCAAGAAACTGCAAGACACCAAAATAAAGCATAGATAAAGCCAAGCTGAAGTAACACACAGCTGTGCAATAGAAAACTATACGTAATTTACAACAACAGAAAATATAAACTAAACAACTTTTGATGAATAATTACATGGGAGTGTTGTGACAAGTGTAGGAGTGCATCATGTTGCACATACTACTGTTATACTAGCAACAAACTGCGCATGCGCACATATGTTCATACCTGAAGAATCCAACAACGAACTGCAAAACGAACATTCCCATGGTGACAAAGCCCAACCACGAATGCATACTGTAGAAATTCACTTTAGGCGGCTCCGACAAATTGTGCGAATCGAAGACGGACAGAAATCCCAAAGCCACACACGGTATGGCGCAGGCGTGAAAGAACATATGAATCAGCTTAACATAGATGTGCTTCAGGCAGCGACATAGGCGGTACAGCAAAATGGCTGTGGAGACGCGGAGAATGAAAAAGAAAATATTAAAAAAATTATAAAAAAAAAATAGTTTTTTGATTTTTTTATAACACACGCGCAAGCAAAAATATACACATTTTCCACTTACAAAATCCCGACAGCGTTATGAAGCCCGCCACCATTAGGGTGGGATGCAAGTTGAACTGCAATGCTGGATTGTCGGACCAAGCGAAGCCATCACGGTAGAATAGTATCCAGAAGAGCGTGAGTATCAACACACCCACCAACAATATGGTGGAGAGTATAACGATGAGCAAATACTCGAACCACGAGCCACAGTTCCAATCATTTTCCGAGTCCTCCTCGTAGCGCCTGAAATGTATAAATTCTCGTATTATTTGCAATTACATCAAGTCTCTAATAGTATTGTTTCCAGTTGCATATTGTTGTTTTTACATATTTGTATCATACATATATAAAAGTTATTAAATTATTTTTGTTTTTGGGCAACAACCGTGTGCCATTTAGATACAACCGTCTGTAATTAGCCTCCGCCTCGGGTCGCCGCTTTATTTGGCGATTCAACTCTTTTATAAACTCCTCATTAACCGTCATCGTCATCGAATTCTGCTCTTTAACTTTTTTCCGCTTCAATCTCATAGAGCAATTATATCAGATGTCTGCAAAGCGAGAAAATGTCAATAGTTTTTTTGTTCAACCCCAAAATGAAAACGTTTTCGTTGCCTGCTGAAATTTGTGTATTTTAAATTTTTATGTATTTTTTAGTACTATTTGTTGTATTGTTAAAAACTGCATAGCTCCATTTAAATTTTGTTAAAAGGCAAACGCTTATGGAAACATTTGCAATGCATTTCTTGAAATTTTTTTTTTTTAATTTACGAGGGCAATTTGATACGTCAATGAATTTTTTTCTTGAATTTTTCTTACGAATATTTTTTGCAAAACAGCTTTCTCTTTTAAAACCTTATGTTTCAAGTCGTAGTGTGTTTTGTATTTCAAAATTTTTTTCTTAAGAATTTGTTGGACCTTACCAGTGTGGCTTTATACCTAGAAAATCTACAATCGAACAGATATTCACCATGCGCCAAATCTTGGAAAAGACCCGTGAAAGGAGAATCGACACTCAGCACCTCTTCGTCGATTCTAAAGCCGCCTTCGACAGCACGAAAAGGAATTACCTCTATGCCGCTTTGCCTAAACTTGACATTCTCGCAAACCCAATATGGCTGTGTAAACAGAACAACACTAAAATTTCCGTCAGGATTGGTAAGGACCTCTATGGGTCATTCCATACCAAGCCTATCTTGTGACTTCTTCAATCTATTGCTGGAGAAAATAATACGAGCTGCAGAGTTAAATAGATACTGGATAAGGAAGTGAAGTGTATGGGTCTACTTGTGAGCGAGGATAAGAAGAAATATCTCCTGTCATCAAATAAACAGGAGTCACCCTCGCGACTTGACTCCCACGTCACTGTTGACAGTCATCACTTCGAAGTCTTAGATAATTTCTTCTATCTTGGCGTCAGTATTAACACCAACAATAACGTCAGTCTCGAAATCCGTTTGATTCGGACTGAATCGGCAATTGAAAAGTAAAGTTCTCTCTCGACGAAAAAAGATCAAATTCCATAAGTCACTCATTATTCCCGTTCTGCTATATGGTGCTTAGAACGCTGGTTCGTTTGGTACATCAAACTCCTATATAGTAATAAGATCCTCGACATAGAGTCTACCACAAATCTTTTGGCACTGCTAATGCCATTTTCGGATATGTCTTCTGCTTCGCCGAGGAGGCTACTTGATGTTTTCAGTCTTGTAAAGGCTGGAATGTAAAAAAGGGCCTGAATTTTCTTACCTTACCTTCTCAACATAACATTGACGCTAGTGTCTTACATATTTTTTAGCCTTATCGCGTGAACGTCGGTTGAACAGTGCCTAATAAGAACACCTACGCTTGCGGCAAGATGATCTTTGTTAAGGGCAATTAGTTCAGTAGATCTCTAAGGCAAAGGGATCGCGTAGCAGCACAGGAGCTGGTCGTCGACCAATTCGGCTACCTTAGTCGCTGTCGAAGTCATAACACATGACAGGTGTAGAGACATACAAAATATATAGGATAGAAATACCTATATTATATTTTTATCTGATTAAATATATTCTGTTTTTCATCATATTTCTTGTTAAAAAAGTTGTCGAGAAATAAGAACTCCTACCTGCTAAATTTTAAGAGTTATAGAGAATAATCTACCAGAAGAACAGATTTGAGCTAAGACATTATAAATAACCGCACTGGTTGTTTCTGAAATATTATATTTGAGGCTTATATCTCGGAAATGGTATTACGAATAGCAGTGAGATCAGTAACTCAAATTCCTAGAGATTTTGAGAATCTAATTTGACTCTCTTTGGAAATCATTTTGAGAAATGCTTCTGAGTGAAATTTCTGCGTCGGGAGTGGATTTCGATTACAGTCTAGTTTGAGATGGCTATGATAGAATTTCTGCTTAGTCTCTGGTGTATTCTTAAATAATTTTCATGACATTCGCCTTAGCAATAAGACGATTTAAGCCAAAACTGTCGAAATAAATTTTTTTCCCATCGTCTAATTACAATCCATGGGTTTTATAAACTCATTTTGGTTCGTCGTCCCTTTTTGACGTTTAAGCATTAACTGTCAATGTCAAAAATATTTTCTTTGCATAATCGAAATTTCGAATTTATTAATAAATTTTTTACATTAATTTTTCTCTTTATCCTGTTCATCCAATCTGTACTAAACTTTGTTCTATCTCAAAATAATAACACAAAACAGGCACTGATATATCAAACTGACCTCGTGGTTGAACATAAAAGGGTTACTTATCTAAGTACAACCATAATCTCAAATTAAATGCAGTTAAAACAGCTTTAATGCAAGTTGAGCAGATGTTTTCGATTATACATACATATTTAAAGCAGCTTAAGCTGATAACACATCGAAGCGGAATGAAAACGATAAGTATTCTTGTGACAAAGGCAGATTCAAGCTAACGTTGGAGCATATGATAATGGAATAGCGGAATTTGGAGTAAAGTCTTAAATGCTTATTTTCGTGGTAAATTTAGTGTATTACATAACCGTTTACAAATCGATCAAAATGAAAATTCACGTTCTGCAAAGAATGTGTTTCTCGCACTTCGCCCAACATATGTCAACATAATCGGCCTACTGAGCGTACTATTCGCAAAATCATCACACATCTTGATACTCAGCATTCATTATTGCATAATATTCGACCGAATTGACCACGTCCTGTAAGCAGTGAAGATATTCTAGCAGCCATGGAGAGTATACACGAAAACCGAGGAGATTTGGTGCCGTTCGCAGCTACTTGAACTGACGTATGGAACGACTTGGCGCATTTTACATAAAGATCTTAAATTGAAAGCGAACAAACTGCAGCTTGTACAAGAACTGAAGCCCCTCGACCTTCCCAAGTGACATCGTTTCGCTCTATAGGTTCTCGTTCCAAGAAGATCAGACGTTTTCGAGTCAAATTTTGTTCAGCGTGTCTTTCGCCAGTTACCAGTCGAAATTCTCGAACGAGTCATCGAAAATTGGGCTCAACGGATGAACCATCTGAGATGTAGCTGCAGCCAACAATTGAAAGAGATAATCTGCAAAAATTAAATGCCAAAGAATGCACTTCCGAATGATAATAGACATTAAATTTAAAGTTACTGTATTTTTTCTTCAAAAAATTAGGAAATCTCGACATAGATCACTCCTTAATAGAAAATCCAAATAGGTTCTAGAAGGAAGGGCTGTCGTAGAAAATCTAAGAAGTTAACATTAATTCATTTATTAATTTAAAAACTACTATTAATACTTTGTTAGGGATCGTAGAACAGGCAATGATTGCCGATATTATAAAAGTGTGCCTCTACTGTATCTGGAAAGCTCGCCTGTATAATATATGGATCAAATTAAGTGTGGATACAATTATCTCTTATTCTATGTTAATTATTATGTGGATCTTATGTTGGACAAAAGCAAAAGGTATTAAAAAATTAAACCCTTAACCAGCATTATTGTTAGCTAACTTCCAACTTTTCCAGAAGTTTTTTATACTACAGGTTCCAACTGCGTCTGAGAGCATTGAGACACAATAGCTCGTCATTTGAAACCACAGAGGTGGTAGAAAATTATTTCACGGAGTATCCTGCTTTCGGACAATCATTGTGCAATATTTTCTAAGCACCACATGCTCTCAGATATTTGCTTGTAATATTATACGAGCGGCCTTCGTTTAGCCACCACTCTGCTCGCTAAGTTGTAGCTCTGCTCTCTTGTTAAAAAATTTATTTGTAAGGCAGCACTTTAACGTAATGTACGAGAATATGTGAGCAGCGTATTAAAGTGCCATGATCGCTTGCTATTCTACCTTTATTTGATTATACCATTTTATTTCATTTACACCAGTTCATGTTCGATCCGTCAATCACTTGAAATATCCACCTATTAGAGAGAAATGTTTAACAAAGATTTTTTTCTGTTATTACAAAATTCCTTTCCTTCGAGATGAATACATTTTTTTCGTCACCACAATTATCACTTACAGCTCCCATTAAAGAATCTCAAACGAAGTTTTAGTTTTTCTTTGTCAGTGTGTTGTTCGCTGGCTGAGAACTCTTTATTGGATAATTGTTCATTTAAAAATCTTTTGAATTATGTATAATTACAAGCCAACTTCAATTACATTACAATTACAACAACTGCATTTAAAAGCCCCTAAATCGTAGTGTAACGAATGAAGACACAAATCAAATATCAGAATGCTCATCCACTTATCCAAATGACTGAATTTAGCTTTCACACATACTAACACACAAGTTTCTATGAGTACATACATACTAATATACATATATACATGTATATTAGGGTGGGTGTAAAATTCGGATTGTTTTTTGCTTCGCATCCTGAAAAATTGGTTGACAGACAACTCTAGAAAGGCTCATATTTGGAGCTCTTAATTAAAAATTCAAAAGAAAAAAGTTTTTATTTGTAAAATTTTCTTAATTGTAAAATTGAGAAGAAATTTCTTTTCTTTAAAATAATCCAATTTAAACATTTTATATTTTAAATAGAGCTGCCTTTGTTAGAGGTGCCTTTCAACCAATTTTTCAGAGTACCAAGCTAAAAACAATTATATATTTTTTTTTAACCCACCCTAATGTATATAGAGTATAGTCTCAGATAAATAGTATTTGTAGTTTAGTAAATATAGTGCCTTTTTGGCGTGGGCAACTCGAGCTTTGGCATTCTTTCGAATTATGCGTCTTTTGTGTTTGGCTTTGGAAGACAAGTCTC